TTAGTCTCAAATTTTAGCGAAAGGAAAACTCTTACTGTAGACATATGACAACTTTTATATCCAAAATCAATTTTGTGAGTACATATTGAAGCTAATCTAAAAGCTAAATACAATTTTAGGTGCTCATTTTGAAAAATAACTTTGTGTAATATTTAGTAAAATATTTAATTTTTTTAATGTAGAAAAGAAAAACACACGCACTAACCTAAAAATATAAAAAAATAAATAAATTTAGAATTAAATGCAGTCTTAATCAATTTGTTACTCATTTTGTCTGGTTTTAATTGATCAACTTCTAATTAATTATAATGTAATAACTTTTTTCACCACGACAAATAATTTTTAAAAATAAAGAACATCCTACATTTCTCATTGAAACACCAGTCGCATCACTAGGATTAGCTTTTCCCTTGTATAAATTCAGCCCACAGGAACTAGCTAGTGTCGACCATTCATGAGTCAAATTTTAAAATCCAACCTTTTAAAAACAAAAGTGAACTGAAGTATAAATTCAGCCCACTGGAATTGAACAAGTCTATATATATTGTCGTGGAGTGGAAGTATTTTTGAAATAAAGTCCACACGGAAAGAGTGGGTCATATCAACATCTAGTGCCGTCAATTGAGTCGCAACATTCCTTATTTGTATGATGTGCTCACACACACCTTTTACAATTGTGAGCTTCATATATAGATGAAAACCTCATAAATTGGGTGCGAACAAGTATTTTATCCGAAGACTTAAATTTTTCATGAATAGCATTTAGAAGTGTCTTAACTTTGTCATGCATTATGATAAAATAATAACGAATGCCAGTAGAAATTTAGGTCTTCATGAAGATAACTAAGGCAATCAGATTGCTCCCACTTATAATTATTATCGCTAATTAAGTTCAAGAATGTCTGTTAAGAGTGTTAGTGTTAATAGTGTAGAAGTCCCACATTGAGTGTGTCTCTTTGTATTCTCCAATTGGTTTGCTATATAATAGCACCAATGTTGTGTAGTTTAATACAACAAGGATTACTATCATTTCCTCTTGTATCTATAATATTTAACATGGTATCTAGAGCCTAGCAAGAGGAATCTTAATCCGTTTAACTTAGTTCTATTTTCCATAATTTCAATATGATTATAGAGAGATATCACCCTCCTTGAGGGATTCCCGTTGCTATTTCTTTTTCGGGTTTTTCTTAGTATGCTCTGTGACTGCAGCTTAGACTGATCTGTCACATCAGAAAAGAATGATCCTTGAGAAGTTGTTGGGTTGACCACCGTTGTCGTTGACCGCGTCGTCCACCGTTGACAGCCGTCTCCGGCGACTTTTCCGATGACTTTCCGGCTACTTTTTCGGCGATCCACCACCGTCTCCGACGACTTTTCCGACGACCCACCACCGTCTCCGGCGACTTTTCCGATTCCACGAAGCTTTGTTTTTCTTTAATCTTCTTTCTTCCCAAGATGGAGTATTTATACTATTCATCATCCATCTTGAGGGGGAGCACTGTCCAAGTTGCTGATGTTGTCTCCGCTGATGTTAATTCCGACACCAAAGTTTCTCTTGAGGGGGAGCACTGTCCATGTTGCTGATAGTCATTCCAGCACAATTGTCTTTGCCGATGATAATTCTAGCACTGTTTAGAAGTTCCTCTTGAAGGGGAGCATTGTCCATGCACTGTCTATGTTGCTGATGGTCATTCCAACACAATTGTCTTTGCTGATAATCATTCCGGCACTGTTTAGAAGTTCCTCTTGAGGGGGAGCACCGTCCATGTTGCTGATGGTCATTCCAGCACAATTGTCTTTGCCGATGATCATTCTGGCATCTTCCATGTTGATGTTCATTTCGACGCCATTTTTAGCACATTGTTGATTTTTGGTTTCTCATTTAGGAGATTTATTTTGATGTTATGTTACTTGGTCTTTCTTGTAATAAAGCTTGTAGCATAGTCAAGGGGAAACCACGGCTGCTCACCAACTGTTAAATGAAATGTCTGAGAGGGATCTTGATGCTGATGTCCTGGTCAGCTCAGTTGTCTTTGCCGATGATAATTTCGGCACCATCCATGCTCTGATGTCCATTCCAGCACTGTCTCTTTATCAGCTCTTCACACTGATGGTCATTCCAGTTGATTTGTTGTACTTAGTCATTTCATTTCGTTGATGTAGCATTGTTGTTTTTGGTTCCTAATGGGAGTATTATTTATGTATCAAGCTTGTAGCATATGATCTATATGCTACAGCTTGAGGGGGAGTGTTAAGAGTGTTAGTGTTAATAGTGTAGAAGTCCCACATTGAGTGTGTCTCTTTGTATTCTTCAATTGGTTTGCTATATAATAGCACCAATGTTGTGTAGTTTAATACAACAAGGATTACTATCATTTCCTCTTGTATCTATAATATTTAACAATGTCAAATTTCACATCAAAGATATTCGTAGGTTGCATGATGGCATAATATTAATCGGAAATGGATTCTCTTATGTGTAATTTAACATGATCATGTCATGTGAAATGATCTTAACCATTAATAATTAAATCAACGGTGATGATTGTGTAACTTTCTATCCTTATTTTTTTTTCTCTCATCCCTTATCACTACTAACTCATCCATGTATGGTTATGATTGACCCACATGATATGGTCATATTAATTAGCACATGAGAGGATCCACTCCCATATTAATCATACATGCTATAATTAAAATTTGAGACTAATAAATCATATGTCATGTTCTACCAATATAAAGCATACTTAACATTTATGAATCTATAAGTATAAATTATTTGTGGGCTAAAATTTTAATTCAATTTGGTCCATACATAACTTTATGATAAATCTGTCAATTATTTCCTAATTTGTGTATGTAAATCAAGAATGTAATTTAATTTTATATCCTAATCAAACATACAAAATATAATAAAGTTTTATGTACGATAAGATCTATTATATCACATATGATATATAAACTACAATTAATATCATTATGTGATCCTAGAACTCATAATATATGTTTTTTTAATTAATTAAAGATGTTGTATGGTTACTTGTTAATTAATTAAAACTAGGGAAAAGTTCAGAAACCCTATATCGTTTCTCTTAGAATCACTTACCCTCTTATTTATTATTTATTTTTATCGTTTACACCATTTTAGTTTTTCCATCCAGTCCACCTTCTAACATCTTAAAAATTAAATTAAACTATCCAGTTTACCCCTATAAAAAGAAACACCACTAGACTATCTATTACTTTGTTCCTATTCACTCTTTTTTAACTTCTTGGAAAGAAAATTTTATAATGTAATACTTTTTTTTCGGAAAAGTTCAAAAATCCCCTGTGATTTCTTTTAGAATTACTTACGCCTTTATGGTTATTTTTTTTTATCTTTTATACCCTCTATAATTTTTTTTTATCCAGTCCATTTTCTAACTCTTTCAAAAATTAAATTAAATTAAATTGTCCATTTTGCCCTTGTAAAAAGAATCATTGTTGAGATAAAATTTGAGAAAAGTGTGTGTCCTTTAAAAGGATACATACTTAGGTCATCTTAGGAGAGAGATAGATACAAAAAGGTGAGACCCATATTTTTATTTAAGTAAATAAAATTAAAAATTATTTAAGTAATAAATTCATATGTAAATATATATTTGTTCCGGGTCAAAAATAAAAATAAAAATATGAGTCAGAGAGATAGGTAATATAGAAAATATAAATGTTGGAAAAATAATAATATATTAAGTAGTAGATTGATCTATTAATATATAGTACTCACCAACGTTACTCTCTAAGATTTGTGCAAATATACACAGAGGAGAAGCGAATTTATAATGAATAAAATAAAAAAATCTAGAAAAATTTAAATTAATGAGGAGCAAATTGAGTTATAATAAAAAGAGTTCAATTTAAGTTGAATTTTACATTCTGATGGAGTTAAGAGTTTGAACATGGAATGTATGTTTGATTTTTTTTTTTTTTTTTTTTATAAACCATATGTATCCTCCACGAAAGGTAATCTTGTTCGGGGCGGGTCCAGAATTAAGGCTTTAAACCCCTTTCAAAAATTATACTGGGGATGATCAAACATATCTCTCACCCCATCTACTTAGCTCCCATGCACTAACCGAACTATTTGTTCTAAATCTTTTACTCTAGCTACAAACACTTTTTTGTTTCGGATCATTACTTCAGTTTAGCATCAATTGTCGTTGTCCAGTTAGAACTTTTTTGGGTTTGAGTTTTTATTAGCGTATTTGTTTTTGTAAAATGAATTAAATGAATAATTTGATATTTTTTAATGAAAATCCATGTTATATTACATAATCTATTATGAGCTAGCTAGAGATTTACTATATATATGGATATTATACAACACCAATTATATATAAGATAAGTTTCAAATTTATTATATCCTGATTGTATTAAGCAATTTCTTCAAATAATTATGTCTTCCTTTACAACTTTCACTCTTACTTATTAATGGAGCAAGTCATAGGGTCACAATATAAAAGTTAATGGAATAAAGAGGAAGTATAACTTAATTTTAGCTAGAGAAAATGATATTAATTAAAAAATTAATTCTTATATGAATCTAATAGAATTAAACCAAAATAAACCTTAATCCTAGATCAGTCTCGAACAAGATTACCTCCGGTATATAATACATGTGGTTTATCATAAAAGAAAAAAAAAAGAATTTCAGCCAAAATTAGTTCGAGTTTTGAATTGGTGGATCTTGGCATCTTGCTATCAAAAGCACATTTAACAAAGGTGTGAATTAGCTCACTTTTAAGGATCTTCAAATTCATCCTCATATTGGGCTTTATTTTGCCAAATCGAAAATAACAATTGATGGCATTGCAGAGACCATAAAAATAATCAGAAAATTCCAACATAAATTTCACTAAATAAAACAGGTTCGTTCTTTATTTTATTTTATTTATTGATGAAGCAAACATAACATTTTATTTATTTTGGATCACTACGCTACAAATGCATTGCTTCATTCAGTCATCGAAGAATTTGTCAGGATTAAGGTAAGCAGTAGACTCAAAGTAAACATTGGCACCGCTTGAGCTGCTACTAGCTCCTGACTCATCTTTTTTAGTTGGGTTTGGATATGGGTCTGTTGATAACGGTGGTGGCACACGATATGCAGCTGCATCGAGACGATAACGATTATAGTAAAGAGTGCAAAACTCAGCAAAATTATGAGAACCTAACCTCCTCATTGCCCATAACAAATCTTCTGTTGTAATAGTTGATCGTTGCTCGCTTTGGCACCGTATATTAGCCTCGCTAGTGATGAGGCTAATGAATTCAGTCACGCTCTCTACCATTGTTATCTTTAATTCATCGGTGATTTTTGTATTCGGTGGAAGAGCTTGGTGCACGATTCTTAGCACATTGAACATTGGCAGGTAATGATTTTCTTGATGGGGCGCTTCACCTTCCACCACCACTTGCTTGTTTTTTGAAGAAGAATCCCCTTCCTCCTGCAATTGCTTTGAACCTAAAAACACATGCACCCCAAGTTTTAAGATCATTTACCTTCATACAAATAATTACATATAAGAATTAATAAAGAAAAAGGAGAGACAAAAACTCTGATAAAAAATTAACAAAAAAATATTGACAGAAAAATTGAGAATATGAAATTTAAACAACAATTCTTATAGAAAATTATCCAAACCAGTATAGATATCAAACTAGTATTGGAGATTAAGCTTATACACGTCTATATATGATGAATATTAAAAATGAAAATCAATATATTTAACACGTGTGAATTCTTTGGAGTGCTTGCTTACTAGAGATTGATTTTTCAGGCTGGCCATGGTGAAAGGAAGACCCTCCGCGCTCCATACTATCTCCTTGAATAAAAGGATAGATGCTTGAATTTTCTACTTTGCTTATGAGTTGACACTGGTTACAGTGTGTTCAATTTATAATGGGGAAAAAGCTAATCCTGATCTTTTTATTTAATTATTTTTCTTTGGTGAAATCTAGGTGTTTTTAATGAGGGAGATAAGATGTTCTTGACTTTTAAAAACCATTTAATGTTGAGAACAAAAAATTTATTGCATTATAATTAATTAAAAGTTGATCAAAATAATAAAGGCTGAATAAAAGAAATATGCCTTTAATTTGCATATTGAATGGACACTGTTTTCAATCCACTGGATTTGTACAGGAGAAAAGTTAATCCTGGCGTTTTTGATGAGGGATCTAAGACTTTAATTTTATTAAATATCATTTATTGTGAGGAATAAAATTTTTATTATATTGTAATTAATTTAAATTTGATCAATCAAAACAAGACAAATTGGATAATAAATTTATTAATAAGACATTTAATTTAACTCTATTTTTTTCTTAATTTTTTTTTTGAAAATTTTTGACTTTAAGATGAGTGAGTGTTTTTAAGCATTAAAAAATAAATAATTTACAAAATTTATTAATATACTATTAAAAGGGGCTTAGTGTTTGTCCTTTTAGAGGACATATTATTATGTCATTTTAGTTAAAACTACAATGTTTTATGATAAGAGAAATAGTTATACAATAAAAATTATGGTGGGAGAAAGTGACAGATTTTTTTAATTTAAATAATAATTAATTATTTTAACTAAAATAATGATCCTTTAAAAAGATAAACATTCCCCCCTCACACCAAAAAAATAAAAAATTTCCCCTATTATAAAAGTGAGTGATATTAATATCGTGTTCATCTTCTAGATTAGTTTCAATATGTACTTATAAAGTTGATTTTGGGTATAAAACTTGTCATATACCGATAATAATTTTTGCTTTATGGCTACAATAAACCCATGCGGTATCTCTTTTTAAAAGTTTATAATGTTAATTTCTTTGCTAAAGTTTTGGTGTTAATTGAAACCATATCTAGCGCCGGGATCTAGAGATGTGGATAAAGGTATAAATGAGCCGAAACCAGACTTGAGCCTAATTAGTTTAGACCTATATAAAATATATTTCAAGTCTCCGTTGACTTAATGGCTTGATACAAATTACATTATAAGTTTGATCTGACTTGTTTTTAAAAAATACAAGATCGGATATGACCACCTATCAAATCTCAAAGTTTTTAAAAATGACATATTTTACTTTGTAAATTTTAATTCATAATTACTTCATTTCTTTTGTATGTTTAAGTTGATGGAAAGTTAAAATAATACAATACTAAAACCAAAATATTGATGATTTAACTATTTTGCTAAAAATTGCGTAAGATATTATTTCTTAAAAAATACAGGCCCGAGCTAAAGATTTATAGGTCGGGTCTTTTAAAATAGACTTGTGACCTAATTTCTAAATATGTATTTTAATAAGTCCAAATTAATTTGTCATGACAAGCCAATGGAAGACTAAATTATATGCCCTTGACAAATCGCCTAACTCGTGTACACTCCTAATTCCTAAATATACATAATGTATTTTTCCAATGTTTAGAAACCATTATTTATTGTTGCACACGTTTTATGCACACTCATAATCGACTTTACGATTGGAACAATTTATAAAGGGGCACTCATGAATTTTCTCTCTCTGAACTCATTCTTACCCATATATTTATACACCACATAGGCAGTAAAAAATGATTTAGAGCATGTTTGCCGCATTTTTTTTAAGCTAACACTTAATTTTAAAGTTAAAGTTAAGAATAACAACTTAAAAAATGAAACTAAAAGTTATCTGGTAGTTATATAAACTTTTTAATTTCTCAATCTAAAAATAAATTATTTGGTTAAATAATATATAGCTTTTTCTAAAAAGTTGATATACATATTAAAAAAATTCTCTTAAGAGTTTTTAACTTTTTTTAATATTATGTAAAAAAATCTTTTTACAATTACAGCTTTTACAAAATTATATTTGGATAAACTTCTCTTTTTAAATTAAAGAGAAGAAAAGCTAAACACTACTTATAATTGTCGAAACCAAATACTACTTATAGGGACAAGATCCGTTTACAAACTTTTTTTGCAATTACACTAATGTAGAACCGATCGTACACTGTGTGATTAATGTAGGACCGGTCCTACATAGTGTAGTTTGTAAGAGTTTGTAAACAAAAAAATTTGTAAATATAACCTGTCCGCTACTTATAACCTTGAGTTAGTGAGCAATAATGGTAGGACGTACAATTCAATCCTTTTACTTTAATTCCACAATGATCTAATTGCTATTTGGATATGTAGGTATGATTATATCATTAAGAATATTTATCATTGCCTACAAAGGTGAGCATAGTTGGTTAAGGGTCTGATCTATACCCCACAAGGGCTTGTTCAAACTTGGATGTCGATGTGAGCACTTTATTGGTTGCTGATATGTAATTCCTTCCGAAATTTTTTAAAGAAGTTGAGGGCTCTTCCCTGATCCTAGTAAGATATCGGTGTTTAATCTCACTTAAACTTTTAGTCATAAAAAAAAAAATATTTATCATTTTTTGAATCGGATTAATTTAATACCTGAACTTGTTAAGAGATATGACGGGTGATATTTTTCTTGAAAGATGAAGCAAATCAATGTAACAGTAACAAAAAAAGCAATGGTATAAATATATCTTAATAGAGGTCACCATAGAGGTCTCCATAGAGGTCTAAAGAAAGTTATGAATCAAGGGAGATGTAAAGGCACGTTTATGGCAATGAACATTAATTTCATTGCCTAAATTGATCCTCATATTAGCCTAAATTTTGCAAAATCGAAAATAACAATTGATTCGATTGCAGAGACCATAAAAATTATCAGAAAATTCCAACATAAATTTCACTGAATAAAACACATTCATTCTTTATTCTATTTTTTTATTTTACTTATTGAGGAAGCAAACATAACATTTTATTTATTTTAGATCACTACGCTGCAAATGCATTGCTTCATTCTTCAGCCATCTCAGTCATCGAAGAATTTGTCAGGATTAAGGTGAGCAATAGCATCAAAGTAAACATTGGCATCGCTTGAGCTGCTACCTCCCGACTCATCTTTTTCAGTTGGGTCTGGATATGGGTCTGTACCTGACCCACCCACTTCCATTGGAGCATCACAAGTTGTTGATAACGGTGGTGGCACACGATATGCAGCTGCATGGAGACGATAACGATTATGGTAAAGAGTGCAAAGGTCAGCATAATTATGTAAACCTAACCTCCTCATTGCCCATAACAAATCTTCTGCGGTAACAGTTGCTCGTTGCTCGCTTTGGCACCGCATATTAGCCTCGCTAGTGATGAAGCTAATGAATTCAGTCACACACTCTACCATTGTTATCTTTGTTTCATCAGTAATTTTTGCATTCGGTGGAAGAGCTTGACGCACGATTCTTAGCACATTGGACATTGGAAGGTTTAGATTTTCTTGATGCGGAGCTGCATCTTCCACCACATTCTTGTTTCTTGAAGAAGAATCCCCTTCCTCCTGCAATTGCTTTGAACCTAAAAACACATGCACCCCAAGTTTTGTGATCATTTTGCTAAGAAAGAAAAAACAATAATTAAGAAGAAAAGGAAAGGAGAGATAAAAACTCTGATAAGAAATTACCAAAAACAATATTGACAGAAAAATTGAGAATAAAAATTTAAACAAAAATTCTTGTAGAAAATTATCCAAACCAATTTATATAGTTATCAACCTAGTATTGGAGATTAAGCTTATACACATCTATATATATATATATATATATATATATATATATATATATATATATATATATATATATATATATATATATGATGAGTATTAAAAATGAAAACTAATATATTTAACACGTTTGAATTCTTTGGAGTGCTTACTAGAGATTGATTTTTCAGGCTGGCCATGGTGAAAAGAAGACCCTCCGTGCTCCATACTCTCTTCTTGAATAAAATGATAAATGCTTGAATTTTCTACTTTGCTTATGAATGGACACTGGTTACAGTGTGTTCAATTTATAATGGGGAAAAGCTAATCCTGATACTTTTATTTAAGCGTAAAGGATTTCTCTTATCAATCAAAATAAATTATCTCCGGTGAATTCAAAATGACTTCGTTTTGATGCGGAAATCATGATATTTTTATCATTCTAATTTATTGCAAAATTATATTAATTTTTATCATTATAATTTTTTAATCTTACAATCTAAAATGACGTTATTTTTAGACTCACTGAAAATAACTTTATCTTTAGTCACTGGAAAAATACTTTTTCCTTTATTTAATTATTTTTTGGTGAAATCTTGGTGTTTTTAATGAGAGAGATAAGCTGGTTTGACTTTTACAAACCATTTAATGTGGGGAACTAAAAATTTATTGCATTATAATTAATTAAAAATGGATCAAAGTAATAAAAGGCTGAATAAAAGAAATATGCCTTTAATTTGCCTATTGAATGGACACTGGTTTCAATCCACGGGATTTATACAGGGGAAAAGTTGATCCGGGTGATTTGATTGGCAGTTTTAATGAGGGATCTTAGACTTTTTTCTTAAAATATCATTTATTGTGATGAATACAAAATTTATTACATTATATTACCAATTTTTTT